CCACCGCCGGGCCCCTCATGGGGCTCGGCAGTGGAGCTGCAAGGCCGGCGGTGGCGGCCGGGACCGTTGGGGGTGGGGTGTGTGGCCTTATGACACACTTCCGGTGATGTCAGGGGGTGTGGCCTTATGACACACTTCCGGTGATGTCAGGGGGCGTGGCATATGCTAATGAGGTATGCTAATGAGTCCCCCTAGCTCTTTTTCTACGAAACAACCTCTGCTTGTGAATATTTTGTATACTTAGATACTATAATCAAGTATAAAAGTAATTGTATTAGCATACATAACTAATGTTTAAGAGTGTATTATTGGACTGATATTGGCCCCAGTTTTGTTGTCTTTGGAGTTTGGATACTGGGAGGTCTGTCTTTTGAGTGGGGGACTTCTGCCTCCACTGGGGGCTCTGTCAACCCTAATCATGGATGGAGCTATTTCCAAAGGGGTGCTTCATACAGACCCAAAAGTCATGCCTTCTGGGCTCTTTTGAAGCACTTCCTATTCCAACGAGGGGGGGGGGAAGTCAGGACTGGCTCCTTGCTTTGAGGAAGAGGTATTTTAGGGAAGGAGTAAGTGGGTACCAGTATACACACTGGTGTACACTATGCCTGGGCAGAAGGTAGACTGTAGTCCACCTGTGGATAGGGTCACCAAACACCAGTTGGGGGCAGGGGATTCCTTGGTTTGGAGCCCGTCCCCCACTTCAGGGCTGTCAGAAAGTGGGGGGAATGGCCACTGGGTGCTCCATTATACCTTAAGAAGACTGGTCCCCATAAGGTATAATGGAGAATTGATCTGTGGGTATCTGGGGCTCTGGGGAGCTGTTTTTTGAGTTAGAGGCACCACATTTTCAGCATAGCTGGTGGTGTCGCACCTGAAAAAAAACCCAAATGTCAAAAAGATTGGATCAGGGGGTCCAATTCTATGAGCCCCCAAAGAAGGTGCCCCTATCCTCCATGATTTTCAATGGAGGGAAGGCATTTAAAAGGAATGCAATCCCTTTAAATGTGATGGCCCGAATTCCTTTCCAGCTCGTCAGCCTCACCTGGCAACCCTAGTGACATCACAAAAGCGATGTCACATCCTTGCTCCTGGCTCCACCCCCAAAGTCCCCAGATATTTCCTGAGTTAGACCTGGCAACCCTACCTGTGAACTACTGGCCAGTTTCTGATGAACAGCCTCTTACGTACCACTGAACTAGGGGGCCATTGGTCTGCAGCAAGCAATTTATGTTCTTAAGCAAGGATCCATCCTCAGGATCAACTCACACAAACTGTTTGTACCTTAATGTTTAAGAGATCCTGAATTATGTACTCTGGCTTTGTAAATCAGAGACACATCAGCAAACTACATAGATTCTTGCAAAAAAACCCACAGACCGTACAAGATTCAAATCACCCCTGCGGTACACCACATCACCGGACTTACCGATAGGGGTTGAGGGTACACAGTGTGACAGCTGGAAAGGTAAGCCTGTCGGAGTTGAGGTTCAAGTTCAGGTTGACGGGAAAGCTGAAGTACTCAGCATAGATGATCCCAAACTGCCAGTACATGAGGCCAAAGGTGAGGAAGAAGAGAAACGACCAGAAGGCGGTCTTCATCTTGTTCCTCTTAGAGCAAACCAGCCGGATGGCCCCATGGATGGTCGTGTTGTTGCAGAAGAACTGGAAGAGCTCCTGGTAGGAACTGAAGAATTCAATGAGACCTTCACTGTCGTCCTCGTCCTCTTCTCCCACCTCTGCCTCCTCCTCGACTTTCGGCTCCTTGGTCTCCACCTTGGATGACTCTGCCCTCTTGCCCTCGGGCTGCTTTTCAAACTTCATGGCTGCAGTTAGAGCTAAAATGAACATTCACAAAACATTTTCAGTTCACGAGTGTTTCTAGTGTCACCATAAGGGATGCCAGCTTCCAAGTGGGACCCGGAGATCCCCCAGAATTACAGCTCCGACTGTTCAGAAGGTTGCTTAAAATTCCTTTCTTTTCACACATGTGTGTTGTTACACAGCCCAGTGTGGCATTCTGCTCTCCCCCGGCCTTATCGTGCTGCTGCTCAGCTTGGCAGGCAGTTGTTTCAACAGGCAGTTAAATCGGTCACAGATTATAGAAATTGCCATAAACAAACTCTATGTTTAAAAACATCCTACCATTCAGGGTCCCTTTAAGTCACCCCTAGCAACATCACTGGCTGCCGATCTCTTGCGATCTGCAGCATTTTGTGGCGGCACAGCGCTGCAAAAACCTTAATGCAAACCGGTCCAGTGAGTGTTCAAGCTGTTTGGTGCCGAACCGAATGGACCCCGGTGATTGGCTCACATTCTGATCACTTCTATCAAACACGGTGGCATTCAAAAGCATGCACTGCAGCCCTGACCTGGAAAGCCCAGGCAAGCCCAATCTCATCAGGTTTTGGAAGCTAAGCAGGACCGACCCTGGCAGGTACTTGGAAGGGAGACCTCCAAGGAATACCAGGGCAAGGGACGCAAGGCAGGTAATATCAAGCCATCTCTCTGAAATCCTATCTCCACTACGGGTCACCAGAAGTCACCACGTCTTCCAGGCTCACAAGCACGTGCACAGACACACACACAACCTCATCATCATCATCACCACCCCCACCACCCACTGCAAATACACAGCATCCACAATAGGGCTGCCAACTCCGTGTTGGGAAATCCCTGGAGGTTTGGGGGTTGACCCTGGGGAGGGCAGAATTTGTGGAGGGGAAGGACCTCAGTAGGATATAATGCCATAGAGTCCACCTTCTAAAGCAGCCGTCTTCTCTAGGGACTCTGATTTCTCTCAAATGGAGACTAGTTGTAATTCTGGGAGATATCCAGGCCCCACATGGAGGTTGTGGAAACTTGAGCTGCAGTGTTAGAAGAGTCAAACCACAAATATATACACTGCAAAAACCTTATTTATAAGTTAAAGTGCTCTATATGTTCCATCTTATAAAGTGCTCCTGTCAGCCTTGAGAAAGGCAGGAGCACTCCGTCTATGATTGTCAGCTGCTTAAGGGGCCTTATGTAAGACCAGCAACAAACATCAATTTAAACGTCAATGTAACCACAAAAGGAGGGGTTGATTGTGTAAAAAGGATGTAAATTGACCGGTAGCTATTAGATTGTACAAACTGATTATTATTGTTGATATTGCATGTAATGAATATATACTTGTTTTAGAATATTACAAGGGGCGGGACCTGCGATACTCGCGGGGGGGGGGAGAGACTTCCACACATGAGGCAGAGGAGGAAGCAGCAGGAGGAGGTAA